GAGGGAGCTCGAGCGTACTCACGCTATCATGAGAAATCTTCAGCAGCGGGTCGACAGCTATGTTGGGGCAATGGAGATGACAAGGCCGGAAGGAATGGCGAACGACCTTTCGCCTCAGCTGACGCGGCCTCCGCAAACAGCGTTGGTGAGAACTCTCCCAGACGAAGTGGCCGCCAGAGCAGCTCGCGCCAAGTTGTTGACGGCAGCCGAGAAAGCGGTGTTGGAACAAACCATTCCTGTTCCTGTTCGCTCAAGGAGCACATCACGGAGTCCCCGAAGAGAGCCCTCCAACTCTTTGGACAGGCTCGACAGGCGAGAAGCCAAGCTTATAAGCCTCCTTCCGAACATAGTGGAGGCGAGAAGTCCGTTGGGTACGGATCCGATCATGGTTTGATGCAATATGAACTTCTCCCTGAGGGTGCGTTCGGCGCCAATTTTCAAGGGGCGACATGCATTCAAGGGCTGAAGGGGAATCGAACCAGCATTCGGAAGGGTACAGAGGTTTGCCAATTGACTGCAACCGACCTTCATGAGCCAGCTTTCGAGTGGAATAGATTTCCGGAGGGCCGGGTGCCTATCGGAATCGAAAATCTGCCTTGGCTAGATGAGTTCAATGGAACAGTTGCGGAGACATCTTTTCGGGATAGTCGATTGCATCTGAACTTTTTTGCAGGGGTAAGTACATTGTTTTTGTGCGCACTCTGCACGGCATTTGGACGAACATGTCCATTGATGCATTCCTTGCTCAGGGGTCGACCTCTTAGGGGTTTTGATCAAAGAAGCAAGCTCATCCAGTGGATCCTTTTGGGGTATGTTCTACTGGTTGCAATTCAAGTGGTGACGTGCCAAATACTAGTCAGTGGCGGTGTGCATATCCAGCCAGACTACCTTTCGGTGATAATCAGGGTCCAAGCAGAGCTAGCCTTTTTGCTTTTGTTCGTGAGACTTGGGCTGAAGTGGAGGTGTGATAGTATAGGTCCTTGCAGAAGTGTCTGCAACTCTCGCAAATGTGCGATTCGACCTAAACCTCAAAGCATTAAACTGAAAGCTATCCTCATGTGCCTCAACATAGCGAGTTCGCATGCCACTCAAGTTTCCCATGCTTGTGAACAGGGTGCTATGTTCGCTGGCAACCGGAGCTCAGTTCATGCAGTCAATGATAGTGACGGACAGTATCATCGTGACAATTCCGTCTTGTGTGATCCTTTGCAGAGCATCCAGCAATATCCTGACAGCTTGAGGGCCTCAGCCTGGAGCCCAATTGAACAGAGAACGGACCTAGGTCAACATAGCATAGATGCACTGACAGGTCACGCGGCAGGAGGAAGTGCCCTACCAGAGGCCACCTTTTGCGAATATGAAACTAGTCCTTTTTCCTGGCCTTGTGAAGGGGACAGTAGAACTATAGTTCCTGACGGAACTGAAGAAGGCCACAGCCATTCGTCCATGAATGGTCCTGATCATGATTCTGACATTGAATCTAGTTACTCGGTGACTCATGGAGACGACAGGCTAACATTTTTGGGCAATTTTGTCATCGATCCTAGGACACAAGAGCCTCTAGGTACCGATGTTGGCCGGGACAGGTCGGTTCGCCGGAAAGAAGCTGAGAACCTTGTCTTCCAAGATCGTCCGTTTCTAGCTAAGACATGGTTTGCACCCCTGAATCGGTGCAACAGTCAGCCGAGGGATTTGGTCGTCTCGGTAGAAGATTTCGGCCGAATTGGAGAGGTGGTTTGCTCAGTTTGGGGGGATTACTTGACAGCGAGTTCTTGCTCCTTCCGACTTGTCTGGCCGCAGCCAGCTCTATATACGTACCAAGAGTCTTGGCACTTCCTTGTGTTCGATGGGCAGGGCCCACCTGCCTTGCTTGTTCACAACACGTGTGGGAGTGATCAAGGAGAACAAAGTCAATGTCATTCCTTTTGTGCTTGTGCCTTCGACCATAAGCATAGTGTTCGTAGATCTCAAGAGAAGTCTTCTGGCAAGCAATGGAAGCATGGAGACTTGGTTAAGATCGTCACGGAGGGAGCACGAGGAGTGTGTGAAAGTTTCCCATGGCTGTTTCCTGTCAATAGTCGACAACACGCGAAATATGGGGACAACACTGCAACCCCGATTGATGATGGGCAGGATGAGTTGGCTATGATGCAGGCGCAGCAGGCGACCAGAACAGCAGCAGAAAAGGATGCGCCAAGTGTTTGGGGCACGGCTCTGATGCAATGGCTAGAGCAAGCGGAGCTCTTTCACCATCTGAGAGTTATGCAAGGACACTTCGGCGCTAAAAGTGCCAAACCGACAAACCTACTCGTAGCCGGACTCCCTGCCGAAACAACTTCGGCTGTAGAGAAGGTGAGTAGGACATCCAGTTGTCCCAAAACTTCATCGATCGGATTGGAAGACCGCGGCTGGGCTACCAGTTCACTCAAAGAATATCCGAGAGACTTTTGTTGTTTCTTGGCCAAGATGTTCGATCGATGGATGTCAGGTGCAACCCGGAGGTCGGGCCCCCCACCAGTTGATGTTCACTGGCTTAAGGCTATGCACATCACTGAACTGGATCAACGCTGTAAAGAAGGGCCCGATTTCAATCCGCTACTAATTAAGAATTCACACCAGCAAGGCGCTGAGTCTTAGGACACCGTGCGCACAAAGAAAGAAAGAAAGAAAAAATCAGGGCAATTGTTGCAATGGCAAGACAATCAGGGCAATTGTTGCAATGGAAAGACAAGGCCATATATTATTATTGCATTGGCCTCTCCAGTGCCAGGAGCGTAAGGCAGCTGAGGCGGCAGAAAAAGCGCAGGCAGCTGCTAAGAAGGAAGAAGAGCGGAGGAAGAAACAGGACTTGCAGCACACTTTGCATTCATTGTAAATGCTTATTTTGAGTGGTAGTTAGTCTCCCATAGTTCAATGAACTTAAGAAGGGTTTTGTTTTGTCCCTTCCGGTCCTCGTGATTCTGTGGCTCGTGTACCATGCCTACTAAAATGCGCCTCCTCATTTTTCGCATACATGTCAAAAGCTGCAGAGTCAGTTTGGCATGCTGTCATCAGATGGTGGCTCACGAGGTCAAATTGGCGGTATGCAGTTGCGTGCAGATTGATTTGTTCATAAACTCAGACTTTCGAAAGTTCAGCACAAAATAACATAGCAGACCATGTAGTGCAACTAAGACCTTGTCAGCTCACTGGTTCTCATCCAAGCTCGCACAGAAAGAGATGGAGACCTCCATGGATTCATACTACGGCGAGCCCGAGTGCTACCTTCGTGCCATTGTGGTCAAGAAGCATGATGCCACTGACGACTCCCAGCTTAGTTTGAAGGTGAATGAAATAGTCATCATTTTGGAGCAAGATGAGACAGGATGGTGGGGAGGACATCTAGAAGGGAAGGAGATGAAGACAGGTTGGTTTCCAGGATCCTGTGTCCGCATCACACCGAGCGAGAAGCCCGACATCAGCTTGTCCAGCCCTGCCAGGCAAACACCGGTCGAGTCCAAGCGACTTGAAGCCGACTTGGCTCAGAAAGATGTGTCCGACGTGAAGCGGGAGAAGGCAAGTCTTGAAGAGAAACTTCGAAGCCTTGAGAGGAAGAATGAGGAGGACCAGAAGACCATTGGCCAACTTAACCAATCTCTGGCCAAGTTGGAGGCACAAGTCCATGACTTGGATGGTCAGCTTGGAGCGGAACGGAGGCAGAAGAAGCACTTGCAAGAAGAAGTCGCACAGCTAAAAGGACGACTAGAGGTGGCATCAGGCAAGCTTGAAAAGCTTGAGTCTTTGTCACATCCGAAATCGGAGAAGGAGCACAAAGAACAGCGATATGCAATAGAAGCAGCTCAAGCAGTACAGAAACAAGTCTCCGAAAGCTCGGCCGTTGTCACTCCAGTCAACACTCCAGTCAACACAGAGAATTTGACTGATGCACCACGTAGTGGCTGTGTAAAGGAGATCCGTGATGCCTTTGAGCGTGCCTCGACTCCACAGCGAGAGCGAGGTCCTGCGAGCAGTAGCCGAAACAGCTACAGCACTCTTCCTCGCGAAGTGCTGCCTCCCTCGTCCTCTGGCCGCTTCTCAGGGCCGGTGGAAAGTCGGGACACTGACTTCGGGCTGTCTCCGATCAGAAGAGGAAGTCGTCCAAGGCCTTATGGAAGTGACGTGGGGATGCACAAGAGCCAATTTGCAAACACACCGGTTCGGTGCTGAGGACATTGCCAGCTTTTGAGCTAGCAGCTAGTTGTTTACAACAAGATAGTCCAATTCGGAGCTGCAAAATTAGATGCATGTCATTGAGAATCATGCAAAGAAATGCATTGGAGAAAAGGGAAGACTCAAGTAGATCATGCAAATGGTGTCGAGAGCTTGAACCTCACAGAAACTGGCCCGGAAAAGTTTTGGGGTCAATCCCCTTGCAGGAGCGAAACCAAAAAAAGAGAGCGGCCAAAGAAGCTAAAGCTGCCAAAAAGGCTGCCCGCGCAGCAAAGCCGGCCAAAGGCGACTGGAGCCAAGTGATAAGTACAATATATATATATATACCATGAATGTGTGTGTATTTGCTTGTTGCTCGCTTAACAAATGAGCCGCTGAGATATCCGATGAGGCAGTTGTCTTCTTGTAAATGTTTTTCGCTGCCAGGAGTTGAGCCCGAGCTCACCGGTGAAGCTACCCCACCGGATGCTCCCCTGCCAGATTCCTGCATGGCAACTCCACCAGAGGAGGTCAAGCCTGCTGTGATGAAAGTGGAAGTGGTGCCGACTTGTGTTTGTTGTGGAATGTTTCTGACATCGTATCCCCACGACCCAGGAGCCAGATGATCTGAACCTTGGAGATGGTGAAATTGGTGTCATGAAGCCAGTTGACTTCTTTTAGCATAGGGGATGGACAGCGTGGTCCGAAAAGGTTTTGCGGCTCCCACTACAAATAGAACTTCATCATCAATCTTCATCATTGGCTTTTCCTTTTTTTTTGATTGCGTGAGTTTATTGTCTCGGTCTCGGAAGGTGGATCTCTGTGTGCATGATACTGCGTTGCCATTGGCCAACTCAAGTCGTTCGTAGTGCCTCCAGAGAGTGGCTGATTTAGTCGACATGCCGGAGGACAAGGCTAGTACGAGCAAACCGAAGGAGTGGGTCGCTGTGCAAACATGTGGGCGTGCAAGGCGAAGAAGGACCCCAAGGACACACCAAAAGAACCGAAGGCTGAAGAAGCTGGCGAAAAGGCTGAAAATCCGCCGGCAGAACCTACATCGCCTGCAAATCAGGCAACGGGTGGGACAGAGAAGAACACAGAGGAGACACATTTTCTTTTTGATAGCAAGTTTATGTTTCCTGAGCATTGTCGATCGCTGCAAGGGCAAATGGATCGAGTCATCCGAGAAGAATATGATGCAGGTGCACCTCCCACTCTTTGATTTCCTTGGGGCAGGTCCATGCAGTCCGCACTGGCGTGTCATCCACTTGTATTCATTTACGAGGTGTGACAGCACCTGCCAGGCACGGAACCTCATCCGTGACATGCTGACCATTGTGCGCAACAATGAAGTAGCCGAGGTCTGAACCTGAGGTTCAGAGGTGCTCCTGGCCTTACTAATAGGAGCAAGAAGCTACTAGGAGCTCCTGGCATCGCTACTAGGAGCAAGGACGCTAATTACTAGGGGCTCCTGGTATCAGCACGTTGCACTTGAGTTGCTTTGACGGTAAGTTTGGCACTTCGTTTGCCGTTTAATTCTTCGCCTTCGACCACAATGGTGATAATGACACGGACAGATATGATATAGTACAATATATATATATAAAAATTATCTATACGGTAAACAAATACTGTAACTAAATAAATATATAGACAAAAAATATATATATATATAGACAGATAGATAGATAGATAGATATTTACACACATGCATACACAGTATAATCGTAACCACTCTGACTGCAGGCCGCCAACAAAGAAGCAGCTCAAGATGCAGCACTGAGCTCAGTGTATGGGACAAGTGGATGCTGAGCTGTATTTCTGCTGGCCCAGGAAAAGAGAGAGAAGGAGGCTAAGAAAGCTGCAGTGTTCAACAAGGCCCCTGAGATTAAGGAAGATAAGAACTTTGACTGCTTGTTTGGGCAGAGGTCGTTTGTTGGGTGTGTTGAGTGTTGAGAATTCCGACCGGAAGGCTGCTGCGCACGAGAAGGTCATCGCCACGTCATTCAAATGCATGCAGGACGCAGAGCTGAATCTCATCATGGAGATTCTGTGGCTCAGAATGTAGTTGTGCGTTGTGCTTTCTTTGCTTCTTTATTGTTTCTTTGTTGCAACCCATGTATTTGGGGCCATTCTTCCCGCGGGAGCCAACCCCGCCACTCCCTTTTTCTGTGGCTGGGCTCTGACTGCTCAAGACATTGTGACTCTGGCTCCCTGAAGCTGCTCCAGGACATTGAGGATTGCATCCTGCAGACAGAGGCCATGGCTTTGTCTTTGATGTGCTATTTGGTTTTCCAGTCGTGCCCAAGACATGCTCCCAGGACAGCCTCAGCAAGCTGACCCACGAGCGATACAGAGGCTTTGTCAATTTGCAGGCCGATCGGCAAATTGTTCGTGTCACCGTACATGTCACCGAAGATGAGAAGCATTCGCAAAAGCCCGTTTTTTTTCTTCCGGTTTTTCTCATCGTCATGGTTACACTGTCAATGTTCTAATAAACCTATTCTTCTTCTTGACGATTGGATTCGTAACAGGTCTGTGAGCGTCGCCTAGAATTGCGACAGAAGCGGCCTGAGCCGGAGAAGTTTCGAGATGCCAGGCGCCCAGGTAGTCATGAAATTTGGGAAGGAACCACCTAGTAGGACCTAGATCATTACTTAGGCATTGAAATTGATTGAATGAACGGAATGAAGCACAGGAAGCAAATGTAGAGATGTCCTCCTTACTTAGACTTAGGCATTGACAGACGTCCATTGCTCAGTTTGCATCAAGAGGGGAGAACCGAGGGAAAGTCTATTGAATAGTTTGTGCCCTGTAAGTATTGGCACGTACTGTGTCGTTTCTGAGGCCCTGAACTCTGAAAAGGGGATCCTGGAAGAAGCGCGCAAGGCTGGTCTCTATGGTCACGGGTGCTTCTATGCTCGACACGGCATGGGGTTGTCACTTGGAGGAGCTTTTGGAACTGGAGAGCCAGGGCAAGAAGATTGTGGATGAGCTGAGGCGTTGACGGTCTGACAAACTAGCAGATTTCCTGATTTTCATCCCTGTGAGCAATGACATGTTGCCTTTGAAAACTATTTGAAGCTCTTGCAGGGACAAGCGAAAGTTCTTGTCAGAGGACACCGGGTTTCGGCCTTCCACTTAGTGGCTGATGGTACCAGGAGGACTTCGAGACTGTTTCTTTCTTGAGCGTGCCATCCAGACAGGGCATTGTTGCGAAGGGGTGTTGACTATAGGTGTCCCTTTACTAAGACCATGATTGCGATGGCCTCCCACCTAATAGGAATGGCCTCCAACCTAGAAGCATTTATTTTCCTGCAACGGATCCTGCAATGAGACCATGGTGTATCATCCGCTCTGAGGCGCCTCCAGATGATGGAGGATATGAAGACCTTGTCGCCCGAAACCGAACGGGACCGACCGGACCCCGTGAAATGCGGAGCGCGAGACGCTCTGAGGCCTCAGGTCGCCCTTCCACCGGTGAAGTCTCCCAAGGCGCCCGCCGTGACCCACGAGGACTGGTCTGTCGAAACGCCATTTTTCACCAGGCCAACAACGGTAGTCCAAAGAAGAGCAACGAGAAGAACGAAGCTGAAGTTGCCTTTGGCGAGGCTGACGCGAATTTTTGTATAAAGGCTTCTGGCCTTTATCGCTTTGCGTGAGCTCCGACGTTCCGATCTCGCTTCCATGTGTCAGGCAGCGCCAGAGAATGGGGAGGCCAGACTCGACCTTGCAAATTGTCCAAATCGTGGGCAATGCGGTCATCAAACATTTTAGTTTGGACTTGAGTGCCGCGGTGTTTTCTTCTCAACATCTATCGTTTTCTGGTCTCTCCTTTACCTCTCTCTATCTCTCTCCCGGGTGTGGACAAGTGCCAGCCGAGTGCAAGAGGTAGGAACGCCTAAGTCAAACGTGCAGGGATTTTTCATGAAGGCGTACAGTTGTTTGCCCTGTTGGGCAAAGGTGTGGGAGGATATGGCCACAAGTGCCTCCACAAGGGACACATCGGAAGTCTAGGTGTGAAGGGACATACAGCAATTTCAGTGCGGTGACAACTGCTATACACATTGTCTTAAAGCGGCTGCGGCAGGCTTTCCCAGAAAGGTGTCAGTGCTGAAACTTTGGTCTCCAGTCGTTTAGCCATCAGTGTCCTTTCGTACAGCCACCTCTGCATCCACCTTGGACATGATCCATGTACGTATCTATCTGAATCTATCTGTCTGTGTGTCTGTCTGTTTGTTGTCTGTCTCTCCCTGTCGTGGTCCATTGTGATGTGCATGCACAGCAGCACCAACAGCATGCCCGACTTGCTTCGCCCCGGAACGAGCCATGCTTGTCAGACAAAGCCAGCAGAGGAGAAGGACCCTAAAGCAGAGGGAAGTACTGGCAATGCTGCAAAGGAGGTGAAGGAAGCTGTCAATGAAGTGGCAAAGGAGGTGAAGGAAGGGGCGAAGGAGGTGGCCAAAGAGGCGGCCAAAGAGGCAAAAGAAGCGGGAAAGGCAAAGGAGGATGCAAAGGAAGGAAAGGAGGCGAAGGAGGCAAAGGAGGGGAAGGAAGTGAAGGAGGCGAAGGAGGCAGGCAAAGATCCAAAGCCGGCCGAGGAGGCCCATCCTTTTGCCACGAACTTTGATTGAATGTTGTCCCAGATTTTGGAGCCGCCTTTTGCTTGGTTTTCTTGGAGGCACCCAAGGAAACTGAAGAGGCAAGCAGCGCTTTCATTGCAGTGGTGCGAATTGAAGTGAACTTGCAAGGACCTGCACCCCCAGAACCCAGTGGCCTCTTTTTGGATGTGCTTTCTTTCAAGACACCCCCCCTGCTCGGGCGGCCCCCCCTGCAGGCGCAGCCGCCGCTGACCAATGATGAGAAAAAGTCTCATACATTGTCTCCTGAGGCCGTTGGCTCAGACTCCAGACTTGTGACATGGACACCATGCCTGGACAAGGGGGGAGAGAAGCTGACCGTCGTTCTGTTCAGGAGCAAAAGCGTGCAGAACAAGCCTCCAAAGAGCTGATTGCGGACTGCATTGTCCTACTTCCAACTTCCTGAACACTACCAAACCCCAAAACTTAGCACCCGGAAGCACGACACTCATGTACGCCATACAAGCACACTTGACACCTGTCGGGAGAAGTGCAGTTTTCTCAGTAGTGGAATCTTGAGATGATGAAGCCACCATCCTCAAGCCATCAGAATGAATAGAATGGACTACGTGCCTACCATGGCTTTATATAGGACTTCGTTGGTTTTCACCCTCAACAAGTTCTCTAGCTTCAAGCGAAGAAGTCCCACAAAGATCGCCAAGAGAAGGCTCCAAGCGGCCAAGCGTTTCTTCTTAGGTTGTCTTCGCCGGTAGTTGTCCTGTTGTCCTGTTGTCCTAAACGTCGGTTTCGTCGGCATATTTAATGATACGGCCGAATTTATTCTTGGAATTTGTTGAGTGACTGGAGGACACGCTCAAGCTTTTGGAGAAATGCAGCTGCCACCGCAACAAGAGCTTGGAGACAATCTTCAAAGTGAAGCAGGCCGCCACTTTGATTCTAGCGGCTGAATGTGTGACTCCACTGTGACTCCGCTATACAATTCCAAGAGCCTGTCAGGACACGAACAGGGCCAATCACAGGTCAGAAGATTGCCTCTCGAGGCGTTTTGTTGTGCTGACTTTCCGTGCTTGCAGAGGGTGATGTTTTGCACTGGTCAGGCGCACCGCTGAGTTGGGTGAGATGAAGAAGCAGTTGGAGAAGCATGCACTGGATGTTGAGGTGGAGAGCATGAAACTGAAACTCGGTGAGCCACCTTTGCACTGCAGTTTTTGTGGGTCTTCCTCGCAGATCACCCGCAGATTGCAGATCACCCAGATCGCATGTCACAGGCCGCGATCCTCAGGGCCGAACGATCTTTGGACCGCACGGAGCGAAGGCGGCACGGCGGCACCACGAGGATTTGGTGATCGAATGGCTTCGTGTTCTGAAGGATCAATGACACGTCTCGATGACCTAGTAGACTCTAAACTCTAGTGGTTCTGATCTTAGCAACCATAAACAAGAGGCTTGACAGCAAAGATGGCAAGAAAGTGGAGAAGTTCAAGCAGGTCAGGCTCCAAGGAAGTGCCATTGTCTAAACAAGGGGGGGGCGGGACGGTTCAGAAAATATTTTGTGTTTCTGCCGCCATGTGATGAAGGGGTAGTGGCCTCGGACCGCCGTGTACAGACATAGATAGCAGAGCGATGGCGGCTCCAGATCTTCTTTGGCAGTGTGTGAAGCCACGATCTGAGTCAGTCTGAACACATTCGGTGTTCACAAGATGGAATGTTGTGCAGTGCTTTCCTTCGACGCGGTCTTAGGAATCAGTCATGCTTCATCCGCAAACAGAAAAACTTTCCGGTCATGACAGCTGAACCAGGAGAGGGGCGCTGTGGATGCATGATTAGGGATTTGGACCATGAAAGAAAAAACCACTTGTTGTTGGGGTAAAAAACTTTGGGTGGCCAGGAAATCTTTGCGGATTGAACAACTTTCAGCTGATCGCTCAGTTGATGTTTGTTTCACGTTTTGTCCCATAGCATCGAGCAGATAAAGACCGACTGTGCTTTGATGACTTGTGGCCCAGGTTCAGTGGCCTCGCATCCAAGAAGGTGCTTGGGCTGGATTCCAAGAAGGTCGGCAAGAAGGAGCAAGCGACAGCGACAGTGCAACAGTCCAAATCTTGCGACCCATTGAACTCAATGAATCAATAATAGCGATGGCCTTCAACCTAAGAGCGATGGCCTCCAACCTAATTGACATTTGACCCATTTGAATCATTTGAACTCCATTCATTCTCCTTTGCCACTTGGTGAGGAGTCGATTGTCCTAACAACACGAAGCAAGAGAGAATCCAGGTGCAGAGTCTTTCTGTTGAGATGTGTCACAAGTATCGAACGTCTCAGGCAGTACCGCCCCGGCGTTGTGCTGGTGACCACTGGCATCAAGAAAGGCGTCTGATAGAGAATTTTCCAGCGGTTGGAGAGACGTGTGTTCAAAGCTGTAAACTTTGACAAACACTCACCGGCAAGGCAAGAAGCAGGGCCCAGAGCAGCTCAAGAAGGCACGGTTTGCTCGTTAACACCGGACATATTTAAACGTATTGGTTTTGGTATTTGTCAAGATGGGCCATGAACGTCGGAGCGGATTTGAGTACGACTCGTCCCGAGCTCGAGTCCCAAGTCGGTCGGGTGGGACCGAGCCGGGACCGACCGACCGAAGATCATTGGAGCGACGTGGAACCGACCCGAGCTCCTGGAGATGGCCTTGAAGAAGTTGACACCTCAGGTCGTCACGATGCATCAGGAATTGACAAAGATGGTGTGGAATTCAAGGAAAACCTCTGAAGATCATGAAGACCCCAAAGACCTTCCAGACTTGGCAGACCTTGCAGACCTTACACCGCAAACAGAGCGTGCTTCCTGAGGTACAAGAAGATAAAGACGTCCTTCAAGAAAAACAAAACTGTGAAGAAGTGAGCAGCTGTCAACATGGCGGTGAGTGCACTTGGAGGAAAAGGGAGAACTGTGCTTTGCAGACAGGTGGCACGCAGCTAAACGGTTTGAACATGATAGGACATCATCAACAAATCACCCCACACTTTTGCTGAACAATTTACTGTAGTGACATCGTACCAGTACCAGTCAACGTTTCTTGGCGATCATGTCAAGAGAGTGCAGTTGAGTCTAAAACTCCTTGCAGAACAGTTTTGTCATAGTCACACACAGGTGACATAGTGTTTATATCACTGAGCACTGAGGACATGGATACCCTAAAGGGTCTCCGTGCCGCTCGGGACAAGTTGGGAGAGGACATTCGCAACAAGTGGCGGCCCCAAACCACCCTTCAGTCGATCTGAGTTGAAGTGCGTTGCGCGCCTGGTGCCCCGTCAGCTCGCGGTCCCACGAGCGCCAGCCTTCGGCGTTTGAAGCTGCAAGCGATCCTTCATCGAAGCCTCTCGATGAACTCGTTGGTCCTGGACAGATATTCACTTTGCCGTGTAGTGAACGAGTGTGCTCCTGCAGCATACGCGGCGCAAACTCGCCGCCAACGATATCGTTGGCAAGAATGGCCTTGTGTGTTGATTTGGATCTGCACCCTGCGCTGAATGGCTGACTTCGAGGCAGCCGGCGACTTGTGTCTTCCGCCATTTCCTCTTCTCAATTTTGCTCCCTTCAGTTGGCGGAAACTATATGGAGCCTCTCTTTGCCGATTCCTTCGTGGAGCCTCTCTTTGTGCACTCATTGCGCTAGCGGCGCTAGCGTTCGCGACTGAATGACGCTGCGAACGGCACTCGTGGGTCCAGTTGCAAGGCATGACTCTCCTGTTCCCACAGGTAGTTCCACAGGTAGTGCATATGCAGGGTCAGCTTCTGTTGGTAGTGCATGCTTCCTCACAACTCCTTCCTTGGCCAATGTTCCACCTGCGCGACGGCGTGACCTGGCCGGTCCAGGACAACCTTTGTGGACTGAACCTTTTGCACCCTTGGGCTCGTCTGAAAGACGAGAGAGAAAGAAAGAGAGAGAGAGAGAGAGGGAGAGATGGTGGATTTTGTTTTGGCACGATACCAATCCGATACCAAGTAAATATGATCAAAAATGCTAATCTGACGACCAGGACGCGTTCATCAATTCCCCGCTCGCTTTCACTCGACTTGGGGGAAATGCGGACCAAGAAGAAGCCTAGACGACAAGCGATCGCACCCCGCGTGGTGTTTCTCGTGTGCAGCTTCCGCGCCATGAATGGTAGCGTTGTGACGCGCGAGTGAAAGAGCCCGCGGCAGCTGGAACGCAAGGATTCCAATGCTAATGCTAGATCCAAGTTCAATCGCCAGTTGCCTGGTTCGGATAAGTCTCGCCTTCGTGCGCCACCTCGATCGCCTCCGTGAGCGGCGTGCGCCATCTGCTGTCCGCACAGCGGCTGCTGCCGGGTGGTGCCTCCGCTGGTGGGGCCTCTTCAATGTCACCGCCCAGCGCGCCTTGTGCCGAACGCTCCTTGCGGCTCCGCGAACCCCCCCTCCAAGGCCCTCCGCCCTGAGTCGGAGTGGACAAAGTACCAATTATAGATATTCAGCCAACAAAACAACACCACAGCCACGACCAATTGAGAAATCAAATCGCCACACTGATGTTTTATCCTTGTGTTGGTTGCGATACCACATGTGTCCAAAGCAGAACACCATGCGACGGTTAGGGTGTTTTTCCCACACTTGCTGCCGAAGCATGTGGGGCACGGGCCACAACCCAAAGCACGGCTGCTCAAGAAGCAGCATGCGGGCGAAGTGCTGCAGAACGCCGGCCTCGCACGCAACGACCAGAAGCCGCTGTGGCCCACTGGCAGCGAACTCAGGATACCGGTGTCGCATGCGCCGCTCGGCGAGGCGCAGGGCAACGCCATCAGAGTCAACGGCCCCGGGAATGAGAGCGTCGGGGCGCGTCAGGGCAGAGACCAGAGTGGCGTCGCAGCACCAAGCGAACGCCATGCATGACAAGGTCTTGCCGTCGGCGGTCCTTTGGGGAGATGTTGGGCGCATTGGTGCGTGCGAACCATTGCTGTGGCACAGCGCGTCCCTCTGCGGTTCTGCTGTGAGATCCCCTGGCCGTGCTCGCTTTGGAGTTTGGGCGTTGGTGATGAGCAGGGTGCCGCTCCAGGGTGCTGCCGCAAGATGCCCGTGTGCACTTTGAAGCTTGGGCCGTGAAGGGTGCAAACATTTTTTGTTGCTTGATCCTATGTTTTGTGGTGACTGGCGTTTGGAACGCGACTGACGATTAATTGTGTCGCAGTTTTTTACCGCTGAAAACTTCATTTTGCACGTCAAAAAAGGCGTTGGGACAAAAAAATTGGGACAGATAGAGTTGAACGGGTTCATTTGCCTTGTGCTTCTTTTTCCACGACGAGTATTGGAGGAACACGTGCTTCTGTTGCGTCGGCGGCGGCGCTTCTCGTAGCTGAGCAAGGCCGTGGACGCAACGCGGGCTTTCAAACGAAAAAATGAACACAACGGGCCGGAAGCAGGTGCAGCATGATGCGCGGCTGCTGCAGAAAAGGTTTTGCTGAGAGGAACGTATGAGCAAAATGAAGCACCTAAACGGGTGCCTGAGTCTCAGCGAAAGGCACCATGCGGTTTGCGCGCAGCTGCTCGGTGCTTGTAGAAGAACATCTGATGTTGGATGTGTGCTTAATGGGTTCCCGCGTTATAAAACCATTTTTGCCCCTTAGCAAGTGAGCGCTATCAGTTGGAGAGCGTTTTTGCCACAAAGTGCGAACTGGTGCTGCCGGCCTGCGGCCGTTGTGCGGGATCAGGCTACAGTGCTAGTGTGGCACGAAGAACATCAAAAAAACTACTTTAATGGTCCGGCCCGGCTGGTGCCTGCGCTACGAAGTTTTGCAAACTGGGTATTGACATGTACTTCAATTTACTCAAATTTGGAAAGTCTGTAATTTAGTCGTGGTGGTGTCTCACTGTGTGTGTGTGATTTGTGTGCCACCGCTGCGTTGCAAAGACTCTCGTGCTCAACCTGCAAGTGCCTTACAATGTCCCACCGAGTGTGCCCTGCAAAACTGTGACTTTGACTTTGAACCTGCGAGCCTGTCGGCAGCCCCTTTGGGCGCAGGTGGGACAAGTGAAACCAACCAGATAGGATTACAGTATGTATATTACGATGGCTTTTCATCCATAACCACAAAACATGCAAAGATCATCCAGCAATCCATGCCACAAATCAGGATCACGAGCCAAAACCTGCCAATTGCCCAAGTGTCGGTAACGAGTGTACGAGACAAATTTATTTGGCCAACTTGCCCCGGGGCAGCCAGAACGATGACGACCCAAAGGGTTCCAAGCAAGCACCCGGTGGATCCAACGCTCTTGCGGGAGATTGGCAACATAGCCACCCAACTCCCAACAATGCTCCATACAACGGCGGGACCAAGTTTTGATGTGGAAAAAATTCGCGAACCTTTGGGCCTGGTCATTCCATAAATGAAGGATGACATGCCAATCGCTGGACCAATCAATGCCAGAAGGCGGGCCCACCACGGTACGAAACAATTTTCGAAATGTTACATCCATCTGGTGGAGATCTCCTTGGTGAAGCGCGCGGTGGCCAGCACCAAACAAAGCAACCGGAGAAACGGTGGCATCAAAATATTGCAATCGATCTTTCAAACTCGCTGTGTGATCACAAAGAATTTGTTTGTGAGAGAAAAATGTTTTTGAAGCAGCTTGCAAATGGTGAGTTACTTCTAAATTCGTGCGCCCACTGCTCCCCATACAGAAAATGCACCCCAACCATTTTGTGTCCGGACAAACCTGACTTCACCTGCAAACGCTGTTGCCGTCGTGTCTTCAGGAAATGGGGTGGCCGGGCTTCATTGGTCAAGAGCACCGTTTTGTCCACATTCAGAAACAACCCAACTTCGTCCAACACATTTTCGAAAGCATCCAACAATTCCAAGCACTGAAGCGAAGTGGAACCGAATGTAAAAATATCATCAGCGAACCTAAAATCCAGCAATCGTGGCAAACCGTCATGCATGTCAATGCCTAAGTCTCCACTTTCCACTTTGGAACGCCACTTGCCCATGGCCCATTGCAATGCTCCAGTGAAAAGCCTAGGTTTGAGAACACACCTTGTGCCCTGCAAAAATGCCGCGCATGTGTATGTATGTGTAGATGCTGCGCGTTGCTCGTTTGCACCTCGTTGCGTTCTGTCAGCAGCCCGCAGTGCCGGGAAATTACGTTTGTGATGGCGCGGCCTCGGCGGAAAATGGCGGTGTTGCATGGCGGAGCGTGTCGGAAAAACCATAGCCCCAGATGCGCAATGTCTGCTGGAATTTTTTTAAGGGATGGTGATCTCAATGTTGCTACGCGGAGGCATGGCTGAACATGTTCAGGCGGAACGACCAAGACCTGTTTTCATGAGTTTCATGGCGCACTCATTGGATTCATCCATCACAAATGCCCAAAGGGGCGCTTCGTGGCGACTGCAATGGACCTTGAGCTGCGTGATAAGCAATTGGCGGATGGCGGTCCCCCAGGGCCTGCGGCAGGGTTTTCAGTCCTATGCTTCATCTACTCGCGCCCTCTACTTCCATGACATCGTCGTTGCCCGCGCTCAACGCTCACAGCCCCCACTAGAGCCGCCGGCCATTGCGCTAAAAACGTCCGTGCATGGTGTTTTGTGTCGGCGGGTTTGCAGTTGTCATGACTTCCCTGTGGGTACAACCCAACCTGTGCACACAGCCTGCGTCGGTGTTGGACACAGCGTGCCTGGTGAGAGCCTGGCGGTGGAGGGGTGTTGAAATTGTATTATTTGGCGCGTTTTACTGCGTGATGCTAAGGCCCAACAAGGAAAGATATGGCACGTTGGTGTTTCAATTTTACGACGTCATGGCGTCCATTGACAATTTGTTTGGCAAGGGTGACGTGCCTCAAAGTGTTGTTATGTTAAGTTACGGCCTTTCTAATTATTGTGTTTGGGGTTTGTTAAACATTTGATTCGTTTTTCTGTGTCAATGGAAGGTTGTCTCCCCAGTGTTGTCCGACCTTTTTTTTGCGGTGGGCAAGGGGCAATGGCAGTACTGTATTGGTCACCGTTCACGCACCGTGGGTTGCACGCGAACGTGTCTTTGACCTTTTGAGCAGACATGGCTGGCGCACAGCGGGATGCAGACATTTGAATACAGCACAAAAGATGATATTTTTCTGTATTTTTCTCGCCTTGGCGGAAATGCTGGTTGCCCTTCTGAGGTTTGCAGCCCTGGAGATTGACAACATGTGCCGGTGCAACCCGCTTAGCCCTCGCTGATGCAATGCTTTGAATGATGTGCGTGGCATGTCTCATCTCATTCCGTGCTTTTTCTCTTGGGCTCGAAGACAATTGTGTAGGATGTTCCTAGTTTTGGAGTAGGCCGTTTGTTCCCTGCCTGCGCCTCAGGTGAGCGTGAACCGTGCGACCTTGCATGTTAGCAAAATATTGACGGACCGTGGTCTTGAGGTGTGGAGCGGCCGGCGAGGACCTGGTTCGCTAAAGGCGAGCGAGAGTCCCCCCATAGAGAACGAACAGAGAAGGAATGAGGCATCATCACATCATTAGTTGTTCTTGAAACCATCCAGAATCCGCACTTTGATCCACAATTTAATTGATACCGCAAAACATACCAAGCTCTCCATCTAATTCACTGTTGCACTAATGTGCGCAGCCTGCAAACAAGGACGTCAATACAGGCTGCAACCACTGCATCGCTTTTTGTAGGCAATTGTTGTTGTTTAGTCCTTTTTCAATTTTTGCCATGGCATCCGAGCAGCTTCATCGTTCGGGCAGCCGCCGGTTTCGACGGCGCTGGTCTCGACTTTGAATTTCCGCCTTGCCGAGATCCCATCAGTTGAAGTGGCAACTTGTCCAGTGGTATTGTTTACCAAGGCCTGTTTGGACCGCTCCACCTACTTCATTGAAATCCCTGCATGATCCGTTGCTCAGGGGTGAGGCCCATCGACCGCGTTGGTACATGATTGCCCTAATCGAATTCTGTTTTGCAAGCATTTTGTGGAGGACTCGTGCAGCAGCTAGACAAAACTTCAACACGACCCCGTCATTCAGGCACTTCTTTCGCCCACTGTGCTGACATCAACAGCGCACTTGCCAGGCCTCGCATAGTTTTGTACATGTACGTTTTGTGCACACTCCTTGTCAGTCAGGGATTGCCAACCAGGGAATCTGGGCAACGATTCCGTGACTTGCGCCGGATGATTCTGAGTGCCTGCATTGCAGCACTAGGTTTGAAGAGCCAACCTCTTGCTCGAATTGCGTCAGTGCAGCCCCCGTCTCCAATGCAGATCAGCAAAGGGCCTGTACCACAAACAAATTGAATCGCAGACTGGACATGACTGGACATCCTCGGTTTTTCTATGTGAGGACCTCCAACCTGCAGCGCCGTTGCGTGCTATCGGACACTGAGGCACCAGCTTTCCCAGCAGCCGACCGGAAGCTCTGTTTGGAGTGGTTGGCCGAGAGGGTCGTCGGATATCAAATCAGTTGCCCATCGCTATTCACATTTTCATGCATAGTGTTTTGCTTGAGGCCTTTGAATCATCGACCTAGCACAAGTGGCAGCAGCGGTTTCTCAGACGATAGAGAAGGCAGGAACTGATTGCTTCACAGAAGGCCCTAATGCACGGATAGATTTTGATGCTTGGCATAGACTTCTGGACAACTGGTGTCATCAAGATAAGGTTCAAAACAGCATCATCAGCATTGTCAAACATTTCATACTGTAAGTGTAAGCCTTTCAGGTCAGAGTTTGGGCACTGGGACATGTCATGGTGACCAGTAGGGCAACACAAAACGTGAAGTGCATTGAATGCGCTTTACCTTGGCTTCAAACTTGTAGGTGAATAGCAAGTGACAAACAGGCAAATTGCTGACTGACAACAGTCGACTCTCCACAGCAGTCGAACATTTCCAAGCATTTGTTGTCCTTTCCTTTCTTCATGACTCGCCCCTCAGCGATTTGCCTTTGAAGAGTCATGCTCCTGTGTCGCCTGCGGCCTGCAGCGATTGGATTGGTCGCGGCCCACCATTGTTTGGCAGAGGTTGTGCCCGCAGCCGAGGAGATGATGTTGAGGTCACATTCTGAATCATCAGCCTCATTCACGATGTCAAGCTCTGTGATCGTTGTTTTTGCAGTGGCGAGTGTCTTCCATGCCAGGTTGGAGCGTGGCGTTGTGCATGATGAAAAGGGCAGACAGTTGGCTTGCGAGCTGTGCTTGCAGGGCTTGCAGTCCCCTCTCGTCCCAGGCATGTAGGGTGCTGGGCGAATCACCTGGGACACGGACAAGTGGTGACCGTGCAGGTTCTCGTTTGGCGGCAGCAGTCTCTTCTCGACTTGGTCCAACCTGGGAGTGCCTCAGAGGATGGTTGGCCAGGTTTGATATTCCATTTATGTACGTCGATTCAGTTGCATTCTTGTGCGCAATGCGTAATTCGTAATTTGTATTGACACCTGGCTCAGGTTTCCAACTTTTGGTCGCTGCCAGCTTGTCACCCAGGCACGTTTCCTTTTTTCAGTTTTGACACACTCCTGCATCTCGCGGCTGAGCTTTTGCCGTTTCGGGCAGGAAGTGCAGTCCTTGTTGGATGAAGAGCTGGATGCAGCTGTCAGGGAGGTGATCTTTAGTGCTGCAGCAGCTGCACAGGTTGAAGGATTCCAAGTGCAGGCCTGCCTCCCCTGAAGACTTGAAGTTGCTTTTGTGAGCGGCTGGCTTTGTGATCCCACACACAGAGCCCAGCCTGCTTACTGTTTGCGATCTTTTTGCCATTGCAAGTCATCCCCAGCCTCCCGGGTTTCCTTTGTTGTTGATTGAAGATGTTCCAAGCCAGAGGGTTTTATATAAATGTTGTTTTTTCCTTTGAGGTCAACCGGCACGACCTCTTCCATGGCCACTGCTTCCGGCGAAAAAACGGCCAAATAGGTCTCCTTCTGCATGCGTGTGAGTATCCTGCAAGGACCTGTGTTTAGGGGAGTGAGAATGGGTTGAGTCGGCACGTAGCTGCGCACCGACTGAGATGAGCCCTAGGAATGATGATGCCTTTCCTATCAACCTGGGATTTTGTCAAGCAGATTCACCAATGAAGCAACTTGGTCGCACTCTGAGTAAATGCTGGGATGGATGTTTTCGCAACCATGGCACAGGTACGACGATGCCGTGATGCAGCATCGAAATCTTTTGGTCCTTTTCTCTGCGCCAGTTCGCGCTTTTGTTTTGGATGCAGAATCAGACTGCGTCAAGGCGTCGCTTGAGGAAGATTGATTGAAGTGGTGTGCGGAACTGTACGGCTCTCTTCCCTTTCTGCAGGCGCTGATCCCGGAATATGCCAGAAAGCCTATGTACACTCTGTACGAGGAACTTTCTGGAGCACGCTGCCAAAGGGTTCCGGATTACGATTGCCGATAGTCTTCGTGTCTCACCTTGATAGATAGCGTCCTTAATATATATATATATATATTATATATCAGTATAAAATATTGTAAACCTAGACCTAGACCTACTGTACATCCAACCCGATGTCTTGTCTCACGTCTCGATTCATTTGGCCCCGTACTGTGATGATTTGCTTGGAGCTTCCCTCCTGGCGAGGATAGCTTGGGTGAGCCTTTGGCAGATGTGTACTTCTTGCCTGACCAGCCAAAGCTTGGTTGGGTATCGCGCAGATTGCGGGGCTCGAGAGTCCGACTGTGAAGAAAAGCAGCTCCGCACCTTACACGACCTTCTGAAGTGATTGGGGCGCAATGACAGAAGTGCAGATACAAAGATTGCAGGCTCTGCTTTGGGATCACGTTCCCAGCATCACAGCCGCAAAGTTGTTGAGATCAATGTGCTTTTCATGTCCAAGACCAAGTGTTGCACAGCACATCTCTTCCCAGCCTGAGGAAGAGAGTGTCACAAAGCGTGGTGGACTTTGCAGCGGGCCCAGGATCACAAACAAAGATTGTTCTGTCAAGGTTCTTGGATCTCGTGTTTTTTTTTCCTATTAGTTTCACGGAAACGTGCGTTTGTCAATGCGCCAGGCTTATGAGTCACTTATGAGTGACCAAGGGAGTTTAGAGCAAAAAGATGGCAGACCGAAGGATCGAAGGATCATGCTGTGACACCGCAAGATCGGTCCTGAGGAACGATCTCTGTCAAAGGACTTTCAAGGGCATGTCGATGCCGAGTGGCATTCCTAGAGGGAGTTCGAAGCTGCCAAGTGAGAACAAGGATTAAGTGAGTAAAAAAAGTCCAGTGACGATTGTGACCTGAGGTCCTCACTGGAGCAGGCAAGCCGTATTTACAGTGGTTACAGTCTGTTTCGTAGTGTCATTCAGATGCGAGAGGGGTTGGTTCATTTGCTGTGGCTTGCCTTGAGTGCCTTGAGGCTTCCCAAACGCTTTCAGACCTGCCGCCACTTGATCAGGGCTTGCCCAACTCCCAGTGTGAGGAACAGGGACAGCAGCGCATTTTATGGCATGGGTGATGGGATGAAACATGACGAGGGGGAAATCATTCCAGCCATTGAATGGCAAGAGTCAGGTCATACCCTGCTCGGAAAGAGAACTTCAAGCGTGAACAGTTTTTTCTGAAGCAGCGACCTTAAAAATATGTGTAATGTTCAGCAGTGATTTTGGGAGAAGGGTTGGACACAGCAAGTTGCAGTTGCATAGATGCAAGATGATGCAAGCTTCCTTAGGTTCGAGTCTGCACAAAGCGGGCGCGCTGGAAGTGGGAGACCTTTGAGATTTGTACACAAGGGTGCCGCGTTCTATGATGTCTTATTTTTTGCACCGAGGTGCGGGCAATGCCTCTACTGGGAACGATGGGACTGAATTCTTAGAGGCGTTGGAACCGCCGGATTATATAGGTTAGGCTTCTCGATTTGATCACTTGCCCATGGGGCCTGGAACTGCAGCCATCGAGGGCCCAAAGTCAGACAGGGCACAGGTCACGGCGCAGATGTGCCACTGGGGAGCCTTGGGGCAGAGCAGAAGGATGAGTTGCTTTGCACCTATGCAGCCCTGATCCTGCATGACGACGGTGCTGAGATCAACCCTACTTCAATGAACACGCTCATCAAGGCTGCAGGATGCTCCGTGGAATCTTACTGGCCATTGCTCATGAGCAGAATGATCAACAATACTGGCATGGTTTCGTGGAAGGGTGCCGGTAAGTTTTCGCGTGGCTGGACAGTGGTTGAAGTCACAGGGCAAACACTGGTGTGTTGGAACATAATTCGCGACGTGTTTGGA